AATGTCAGCTTCTTGTAAATGTCTTATATAGTGTTACATGTAACATACAAAATTCATATATTACAAGAATGCTATTATTCCTCAACAACAATCAAATGAGCAAAATGAACATGAAGTACTAAAATTTGAAATTATCACGTTGAAAAATCACTGGTAAGATCATCATCATCAGAATCTTTTTCACTAGAATGTTTTTGTATGGTTGAAGCAGATGATTTCGAAGTTTAAATTTTATCGCTGTAAGAACTCGATTCTGTAGTTTAGTTTTCATTAAATTTAATTGCAAAAAAATACGTTCAACTGCTGCATTTGAATGAGGAAGCAATAAAAACATCTATTTACTGTCAAAGTAAAGTAAAAAAATACAGAAATATAGAATAAAAATGAATATTTTGAAAGGAAAGATATTAGGATTTCATGAATGGTACTAGGAAAATGATGTTGGGTATCTTGGTACTGGGACAAGTAAAAAGGTACTAGATTAGTACAAAAGTACTAGGTAAAACAACACCTTGTACAGAAGTTGGCTACTTTTGGGCTACTTTTTAAAATTATTTGGCTACAAGAGCAAAAAACATCTGGCAACGCTGGTTCAACGTGAGTGTTGAAAGTGTTAAGACAGCAAAAATCACACAACACACATTAAAGATTTCGACTGTTAATTTGACAATTAAGGACCTTCAGGAAACGGTGGCCGGGACAATTCTCGTCACCTGCAAGACTCCAAGAACGGTGGAGGTAAGATAAATGATCGTTTGGTCGACTTTAGGACCCGATACATTTTTCTTATTCTTGGTGCCATATCAGATTTCTGACGTCGGCGACACCCGGCACAGTTTAGTAAGTAGTTAATAACACGCCAAGGAAGATTAGTACCCTTACCAGTAAAGTTTTGAAGGTTTTTGAAGGAATTTCTGCCGCTGTAAAGTACTAAAAACACTTCTGGAGTAAAGTTAAAGAAAGAATATTTTTATTTTTACTGATATTTTCAGACAAAATAATAATTAATAAAACTAAAAACAATCCAAGTGGAACGATTCTTGTCTGATTTTGTTAGACGATCTGATGTAAGAAACGTCTTGTTTTGTTTGATGGTTCCTTTTTATATTTATATTTCCTTTTTAAATAAATAAATAATTAATTTAAAGATTGTATAAAGAACTTCGAACTAAAATAAATGAAAATTTTATCCTTTTTGTCTTTATTTTTTAAATCAAAAATATTAAAATTAGAATTCTTCTTACACAGTTTCTTTCGAATGTATTTGAACTTCAGTGTATAATGTCTCTGTATCATGGAAAAAAAATTCGCCATTTTTTCTTTTCGAGCCGAGAAAATTGAATTAGTCAGTTTTAGAAGGCCCCCTCGGCTATAGATAAGACTTATTTTGTATAGAAAGCCATATGAGGCCTTTATATAGAGAAAGACTTTTCTAGTTAAGCTATAATTATATGGTTGTCTATTTAGATCGCTTTTCTAGAATGTATAGGGCCTACAAACCTTTAAATGGTCTTAAAAGTTAAAAGACCCCTTTCTATACAAAGAGGCCTCCTAATACTATCTATAAGTATATATACACGTGGTATCGAAAAAGATCTCTGTCTAGTCAGTCATATGTGGTTCTTCAGGCCTTATGTCATTAGATCTTGACGATAGGTAAAAAATAAAAGGGCATTAAATCTAGAAAGTCTCATTGCAGATCTAAGGCTTGTTATAAATCAACCGTTGCTAGAATAGCTTATAAGTAGACTTGATCGAAACATGAGGCCTCGAAAGACTTGCTTGTATTATTGGAAGGTTTTATATATTATAGAAACACGTGAGAATATTTACATCTAAAAATATCACCAGATAGAAGGCCTTAGAATTAGATTGTATTACCGACAATATAAACAAATGGTCTAGTGTTATTTTGAGGCCTCGTAAATACACTTTATAGAAACTCAGGACTTGGAATGATTTGCTTGAAACATTTCAGAGCTGTTGAAAGGTCGTGTAAACCTATCAGTAGCATCGAGGCCTTTTTACTTATAGGACAGTCCAAAGAGTTACCTGCAATAATCTAATTTCCCCTTTTATAACGCAGCCGAAACTTTATAAGTATATTTTATAACAATATAAGGCCTAGAAGGATTTGTTTGAGGCATTGTTAAACCTCTAGAACGTATTACCATCCAATAAATTATATCTACCAGTAGAAGGCCCCATAAATAAATTAATAAATGCTAACTGTTTGTCTCAGTGTCAAAAAGTGTTTACTGAGAGAAAAACATCTAAAAATGTCTCTTACAAATAAGCCACGTGTTATTAGACTAATTTATATGACCTACGAAGGTTTTGGTATACTGCTAAAAGGCCTATTTATATGAAAAAATAGCTTTACAATTAACTTCTTTATCTTTTTATAGCTACTCTCGGTACATGTATAAGGCCTCACAGGGCTTTATAAGGGCCTATTTGAGACGTTGACAAGTCACTAGAACATGCTAAAACAAAAAAAAAACCGCAAAAAATTTAATTATTAGGTTTTATAGAAACAATGCATTTAGGATCGTCTGTTATTAGTAAGCCTAGGCTAATTTATAAGGCCCAGGAGATCGTTATACTGCTAAAACCTTATTTACATATGTAAAAAAGAAGCTTAACAATTAGAATCTTTAGCCTCTTTCATCGCCGCTTTCGGTACAATTATAGGGTCTCTCAGACACGCGTAGAACCTAGAAGGGCCTTACGGAAACGTCAGTAAGACGTCGGGACGCGTGCAGAGCTCTGAAACAGAGCCGTAAAGAGGCACAATTTATCGATATCGTGCCAAAAAGCAATTTCAAATCCTTAACTGTGACGTGATTAATTGTGTTTTAATCTATATATATATATATATATATATATATAAATGGACGTATGTGTCCCTATATTTCACTTTTCCGCAAAAACTACACATCGCACATGAATGCTGTTTGTATGTGGTAGTAGCCCCAAGTCTCCATTCGTGCACTATGGGGGTTGCGTTTCGATAGCTATAAGGGTGCGGGAGATATGGGGCTGAAAGTGGTTGAAAGTGGTTTTCTATTTCGAATGTTATGTTCGAATTTGTCCGAATTTAATTCGAACAATATTCGAATTTGAATTCGAACATAAAATTCGAATATTGGTTCGATTATAAAACGATTGTAAACGTTCGAGAAACGTTGAAAATAGTTCGTTTGACTGGACGTGAATAGGAGACGTTCATAAATAGAATCGGGACCAGGTCTCTAATTAGTCTGGAAACGGGGGACCTAATTCTTGCATTCTGTGAAAACGGATAAGATTGGCTATAATGTAATTATCTTAATCTTCACTATCGTTACTTTTTGCCCACAAATAAAAATCCAGCGAAGCGGGTCCTTGCAGCTAGTATGATTAATAAAAACAAGACCCTATTATTTAATAAATAACGTTGTCAGATATATACATTAGGATAATCTGTCAAGTTGAAAAACAACTTTAATCAAAGTAGCCTTTATCCAATAAGCCACTTTTTTTCTAAGAAGTGATCAATCTTAAACAATTCACGAACTCGTGATATAGGCCTATGCAACCCCATTTACGTGACGTTGCTAAGGGAATTATTCTCTTGTGTGCTCGGGTGTTTAGTGGCCGCTTTTTTGAGATTTTTATTGAATTTTGTCACTTGGACGAAGATTCTTGATGTCCTTTCGGAGTAAAGTGGACATGCTTTTGATTTTCGATTTATAAAATGTCCCGAGGATCTTTTTTTAGAAGGTGTTTATTGAGTGATCTCATTTGTGTAGGATGTCTCAGGTCGTTTTGGGATAAAGAGCCTTTCCTTTTTTGATTTATATAGAAATCTTGAGAATCCTTTCGAGTGTACTCTTATTAAATTTTGTGACTTATAAGAAGATTCTCCAGTTATTTTCGGTGTAAACTGGAATTTTAAGTGCATTTTTCGAAGTTTTTTTTGATCATCTGTAATTTGTATAGGGTTCTTGAGATCTTTGAACGTCTAATTTTCATAAATTATATGTTCTCGACAATTTAAAACCACTATTTTTTAATGATTTAAGAGGTTCTTTTGGGATTATTTTTACTTTAGAATGTAACTTTATTCTACTGTGCAACTTGTAAGATTTTTATTTTTTAAACTATGTTTCAAGTAGCATATTTAATGAAATAATGGTTTCAATGAAACCATTTATTAACGAAAAACCTTTAAATTATTTCCGAATGTAAAAAATAATTGTAAAAACCTTGTACATATCGATAGTTTCATTTAATTCTGATTTTTTTATGTCACAATTCACTAGAATAATGACGTTGATACTAGTATGATGTTAATGTTAAATATCTTCTTATTGGACAAAAAATGATGTTTGTTTAATAGATTCAATTCAAACTATTTATTATAAACATTTCTGTAATAACTTTATTCAGAATTCTCTTTTATTGCGTGATATGCGACAACTGAATTTACATAAATTCGGAAAAATTTGAACAAAAGCGTCCTTAAGGAGAGAAAAGAAATTCAATATTAAATAAACCAGAAAACAACGGTTGCTCATTTTTTATTATTAAATATAACAAAACGTTTTTCTAGATTACAGAAGCGTGTTTAAACATCGGCAATACTTTAAATCATGAAAGCAACTACGATAACTGTTCGTTTTCCTTACTATATACCCATTGACAATAATTAAATATACCAAAAAATTACATATACTCTACATTAAAATTCATGTTTTTAATTAACGTGCATTTATCAATGATAACATCTACGTGCACCCACAGAATGTGGATGCTGTGCTGTTTTGACATCGTCTTGTAAATAACGAAGTTATCGAGATTATTGTAGGAATAACTAATAATGCGTGAAATGTTGTTTGCAGTACAATTATGAAAACGATTTTAACGAAAGTGGTGTATATAAATATATTATAATAGTCGATGATTAACAATACTAATCCAGTAGATATTGCCCCTTGAATTAACGGATAACCTACGTGGCGTAAACTATCCTTTAACTTTTCTTCAGTCGTTGCTTGTGATGAAGTAATGAAACAATAGCATATGTGAGTGGGATAATTAACACAGAACCCGATGCAGAGGATTAAGCACATCAGAGACACGATATCCAGATTGATTGCCCATAAAGACATGAATCCGATTGTCTGCGCGATGATGGACCCGACACAGATAGCGACGATAACAGCGCAATGCAAATTGGGAATTAAAGAAACGAAGATGCCGAAGATTAACAAGGAAGTGATCCAGAACAATTGAAACGTTATCTGTCTGATAACCATACCTTGCTCGACCAGATGTGATATTATTGTATGGATAACAACAGAAAATGGCGCTTGTTCGGCAATTTTCGATAAATCGTTTACTATTTTGAATTCGGTTACTCTATCCGAAACATCTTTCGCTAAGAATAAAAAGCGACTGGCCACAATATCAGTATAATTGTGATTATAAATGATGTCATTATTAAATTGCTTGGCACCTGTGAATTTCAAGAAGACGTTTCTAAGAGCATCCATAAAGTCTTGCTTCTGAGACAGATCGTATCCCTTTAAAGAATACTTCGAAAAGGGATGAGTTTGGAATTTATTATAATACTTTAACCAAGAAAATTCGAACTCGTATCCGGCTATATTTTCAATAGTGTGGAATTTTTTCAAGAAATCATTAACTGACTCTTGAACTCGTGGATTAGAATAATCTAAAGTTTCGTTAATTACGACGTGCACCGTAAAAGGGTATTTGGTAAAATATTTATAGTAAACATGAAATCCTTGTGTAATTTCAGAGGTTTCTGAATTGAATTTGTAAACATTAAACCCTTCCTGTAAGGACATAACACCCCATATACCGATTGACAATAATATAAAATACAATAAAATAATAAGTACCCGTAATACAGAATGAAAAATAAAAGCTGAAAATGTATCTCTGAAGAACTTCATAAAACAGTCTTCATTTTGTTCATTGTGATAGTCACTTTGTCCAATAGTTTCTGTAAAATTAAAATATGTTGTTAAGTTGAAATAAGTCGATCTGGATGAAATTTTATAATAATATTGAACCATAAACGTTAAAGCGTTAAATATGATAATCATTACAAACATTCGTATATTCACGTCTTTAAAGTCATGTTTTGCGAGTATATATGTTACCGCTAAAGCTCGAAATCCGTTAATGTGTACATTACCTAGCTAATCTGCAGATTAACTAGGGTGATCCGTTAAAGCTGCTAAAATTATTCCATTTCTCAAATTACCTAGGTAATCTGCGAATTACCTACTAGGCACTCGGTAAAGTTAAAATAAGATCTTTGCTGGAACAACAGCAACGTTTCTGTACGCTTAAATTAACATAATGTTATTTATTTAATTTTCAATATCTAAAGAATCAAGTTAATACAATCAACAAATTAGTTGATTGAATCAATCATCAATCAATTAAAAAAACTTTAATACAAAAATCAAACGGTTTAAAATATTATTACAATTAGGGAAATGAATTTGCAAAACATATGATAAAATTGTACTTACTTATTAGTGCAATCTAAAGATTGGTGACACTTTGAATTACGTAGCAATTGGTTTTTGCGACAAGCACGCCTATTTGTGGTACATTTAGATTTGCAGTCACATTTTCTGAAACCCTGCCCAGTACCAAGGGATTGTTTTATTGCTGTTTGACGTAAAGATATTTCTACAGCAGGGACATCCATCTTCTTTCGTTAAAAATCTCTCTTTGCAAACACTGAATTCAGATTTTGCATACAATTGTTTTAAAATACCTGTTTTAGTATCAAGTTTATAAAAGCCATCCTCTGTTTTACTAAGAACCACAGCTAAAATTGAACGTGCATCAGTTTTTGCTCTGTCTTCTTCGGGTACTTTAATTCTCACAGCGAAACCTTCATCGACGTTTGGGTGCTTTGCATTAGAAACTGCTAACATTTTCTTTGCTTGCTTTTCTAAACATTTCTTGGCTTCATCACGCTGTATTTTCTGATCCATATTCTTTTTACAGATGATGCACAATACATTCTTACCATACCCTTCCTCTTTAGGATCTACTTCACCACAAACTGCGTGAACAAACATATTACACGATTTACACTTGTGAGCACTTGATGCTGCTTTTGAGCAAACAATACAGACTATGTCTTGTATAGTGCTCTTTACAGGCTCCGTACGAAACTGTGATGGCGATTCTGCTGAAGTTGAGAGTAACTCAGTGATGACTTCTTCAACTTGCAGAGGCGATTCCTTGGAGGTGCAGGGTAACTGAATATTCTTCGTGACTGCATCATCAATCAACGGTATAGAAGGCAGTTTAAGATTACTATCGGTAAATTCTTGTATTTCTATAGGTGATTCTGTAGAAGCGGGGGATAACGGAATGTCCTCTTGAGTAAGATTTGACTGTGATCTCATAATCACAGTCTCTTGTGAATCTTCTAATTTTTCAAGGTCTTCTTCAGTTTTTATCGAATGTCAAACAATTCTCCGGCATGGACAAACTTTTTCAAACCTTTCTCGCGCATCTGACAACGGCTCAATGAGTTTTTCACAGCCTCGTACAGTCAACACATCACACCTTTGAATTATTTGATAATCTCGAGATGATTCTTTCTTCTTGGAAACTTTTATTTGCTTTACATCTTCAATTATGGAATCATACTTTGGTTTGTTATTAAAACACTACGTATTATATTTTAAATCTTCGCTAAAGAGGTTTGCGAAGAATCTTTTCTTGATTTTACTCACCAATTCGGTGCTTGCTTGCATTCTAGGATTTAAATTTATCTACGTAAAAAGAAGGAGTGGGGAAAGGAAGTGAAAGAAACAAACTTTTGAACTTTAACGATACGGAAGCCGTTAATGTGCAGATTACCTAGATACTCTGCAAATTACCTAGGTAATTTGAGAAATTGAACAATTTTCGCAGCTTTAACGGATCACCCTAGTTAATCTGCAGATTAGCTAGGTAATGTACACATTAACGGATTTCGAGCTTTAGCGGTAACATATACACCTATATGCTCTATGTACTATATAACTATTTAAAACATAATTATAGTATTGAAATGAAGTTAATGAATTCAAAATATTGTAAATGAATTTAGAATAATAAGTTAAGTTTTACGCACAAGTTATGTAAAACATTAAGCAGAAGTCTTGTATCCTGTATCCATTCTATACTATAACAAAAGCCTATTTGGCAGTTGACTATCACAGGAACTCACAACCCACCAGTAGCTGAAAAATATTACTGGCAACGTACTCAAAGTATGGATTTCATGTCAATGCAAATGGTAATGATAACACCGACTCTAACTAGTTAATTCTATTCTAATTGCAAATAAGATTATAAAGCTAATATTAATTGCAAAAAACTAAATAATTATAATTTAATACTAAATTTTATATAGTTTGACTAGATATTTTAGTAGGTATTTGTCTATGTAGTGTGAGATTTTCCTGCTTAATCTGGATCTTTTCACAGTGTTGATTACAAGCATATTGTAGATTACTTGTTACCACACGTTCAAATGTTCCTTTTGTAATTCGCCACGTAAGAAGCATTCAATTAGTATATAAATAAGGGAAATGTTTAACACTATACCAGGCATGGTCAATACACGGCCCGCGTACTTTAACCAACATACTTAAGCCTAAATTCTTAAGTAATTTATTTGAATACTAATATTTTTATCCTTATTATTACCTTGGCACATTCAGTTATTATAACCATTACTGACATATTTCTCTGTTTTTTGTCAACTCCAGTACGTAGAATATGCGCCTGGGTCATAAGTCAAAGTGAAACACTTAATACATAATATTTAAATTCACTATTGTTGTAGATTGGAAATTTCTTATTAAATAAAGTCAGTTAACCAGAGTCTCTATAATGTTTTAAGTAAAATGCCCTGTCCATAAAGAGAAGAGTGTATAGCACTACACTTTAAACTATTATTAGAAAATCTATGCACAAAATTACTAATACAAGTTAATAAATTTAAAACTTTTACCAAAAGCTAGTTTAAATGTAAAAGGATGAAGTCCCTTCTCTTCTCTGTATCCGCTTAATGCCAAACATCCGCCGAAAAAAAACAACTGATAGAAATAACTGAAGAAGATGCACGTTGCAGCATACAAAGAGAATATTCTAATAGCCGGGAATGGTGACGTCATGGCAATGCAATAGGAGATGAAATTCGTTAGAGACGTTATGGTGATGGACACTGCTGCGTTGCGATACGTCTGTTCCATTCGCTTTTCTACGCTGTCATTACAATCTGTTGCCTTCCAGCAAGCCAATACGACAAACGAGTCGTCCACTTCCGTTCCTTCAATACAGCAAGAAAAGAAAAATTACTAAAGCAAAATGTATCGGTATTTGAAAGTATTTTATGGCTTATCTTACCAAGAATAATGAAAGGAAGACTGACATTCCACAGAAGATTTTCTACTCCACAGGCGGATAATAAACCAAACGTCGTGGCTACAGCCAAACCGGCGGATACAACATTAGCTACGCCTAACCAGGGTTTGGACTTTACCCAATTGTTAGTCATGTTCGTCGACACGCAGAAAATGGCCACTACGACCACAGCCACGCTTACCAAGGACACTAACTTCTGTGAAATGCGTTCTACTTGAAAATCAGTAGAGGAGAACGGATCGGGAAATGTTTTAATATGCTCGAAGCTATAATCCCTCAACTTGTTGTAAACTGCCTTTGTCCACTCTTCATTCCATTTTTTCTTATTTGCATTCCATTCATCAAGTATATAGAATAAACGAACGGCTTTAGCTTCAATTATGTATCCGTTGTCGTCTATTGTAACCCCTCCTAAATTCACAGAAAGGATTTTGTACGCGTATGTTACAGAATCCATATTGACAGGATACTTCATCCTTAATATTTCATAAATAGCATTTTCGGAGTCGGTTAGCATTTCAATAAGGGTATTTTCTGAACATTTACCATCTACAATTTGACACACGTCCGAATAAACAATAATCTTTCCATCTACAAAAGCTGTGGTATTTTTTACAACCTGATCTACAATTTGTATTTCGTCTAAAAATTCTTTGCGTAAAATGTTGCCTTCTCTGTCATTTACTATGTGAATCATTGGAAAATGTGGGCGATTAGTAAGTCTTAAAATATCGTAAGTACCCGAATTGGTATGAAATGTCTTATCCATAAACTGTTTGGCATCATAATATTTACCCCTGTCCGCAGTTAACAGAGAATCGTTATCGTTATTAGTTTGAATTCTGATTAGCCCGATTGATAATAAACAAGAGATAATGACAGGAACAATGACAAAATAAAGGGGATATCGACTAACTATTACACCAAGTCGACCAATTATATTAGATACTGTGCTTGTCAGACACGAACATTTCCTTTTCTTAGAAGTGTCGATTCTTCTTACCTAAAAATTTTTAATTGAAATTACTGCAGCATGGGCACGCGAAATGCTTGATATAGTCGAAAGATTTTTACCTGTTCATTCATTGCTATCTTGAATTAAGAATCCTGAATTGTTCTAAAAAATATTCAGCATAAAATGCTTCACGACGATTAATTCTATCAGATTGAATGAAGAATCACCTTTCACATTTAAAAATATTTTCCTCAGATATTAAAAATTCTGAGTAGAAAACCAGCCCATTATAAACTGTAATTGCGCTGTGTGACGTCATATTGTTTCTCTGTTCTACGTCTCATTGGTTGACTGCGTGTGACGTTGTCCAATTGAAGCTAATGTTTGTTAAGTAGTTTCAGTTATTTTTTCTGTCAAAAGCGTTTTCACCGAGTGTTGCACATTTATATTAAAAATAAAATCTACAAGTAAAAGTTTTTTTAATTGTTTTTTTCGTAGAGCATCAAACTATACAAATCGATAATCAGAAGAAAAAAAAAACAATCTAATTAAATCAAATTTTGATATTTACTCAAAAATATCAGAATATTTCTGCAGAAAATGCAAAGAGCATTAGCATTATTAATTAACTTTCCCAAAAACATTTACAACTTGCTTTGGTCTTTTCTATTAATGGTGTTTTATTTTTAAATTTTTAATATTCCCAAGTATTATAAAATGGCAAAAGTCACATTTTCAAGGTTAAAATGAATTTTATAATAAACTTTAAACGCTAATAACAAATAATTTTATGAATTTTTACCCTCCTCGAGGTGACTTCCTACTAACCGATCTTCCTTCAACCTGTACCTACCAAAACTTGTGTTTGTCTTGGAACACAAAATATAATAAATGGTGATTTTTTTTGGACAGTTTTGTCTTCAATTTTATTAAGAACCATTACTTATTTTTCAGTTGAAGATCAGATGATAAAACTCAAAGAACAGTTTCAGCTATTTTATAGTTCAGATAATTACTGATAATATGTAGAACTTTATCTTGAATTGTGCATGATCTTCTGTCAGGTTTTTGTTAATTTGTCTATTAAACTACATCCACAGAAACAAGAAATTGCTGTTTAAAAACATAATTATTCTTATGTTATTAAATGTAACATTCTCACGATCGACAATAGACAAATCGCTGCGAAAAACTATAATCATTAAACAATAAATTGTTAAATGGAATCAAGTAGTATTTGCTAAGTAAACAGATGAACAATAAACGAAAGCAAGCGCAGTACACTTAAGTTACGCCAACGAGAAAGTGTAAATTCAAAGTGTAAACTGTAAAGTGTAAATTCATGCTTCATCGGGGAGTCTATTAATATCTATCGGTCACCAAATTAATGACTTATGACACGGAAATAATATTCAAGTTTAAACAACTGAAACTTATATAATTTTATTTAAACTACTTAATTATCCTACAGAACTATATACAGGTAATAAATAAATAAAAATGCGAATGCTTGTAATAGTAAAGATAAAATAATAATAAAAAAACGCAATATTTTACTTACCTATGTCAGTGTTAAAAGCTAAATTTCTATTGTTTTCTTAAAGACGTATGTTAATTGATAAATGAGAAAAACATCGATCGTTATTACTGATAAGTAATTTAATAACTATTTTACTTTTCCGGCTGTTATATATAACAGAGAGAAAGTATGGCGATCGGTCAAAAATGATCCCTAAAAATTTTTATATTTTTGGAATCGGGACACCTTGAAACGTCGAGAAGTGCAAAAAAATTCGGGGATTATTTCTTATGTATGCATGTTAATATGTGTGGAAGACAGACTATTGTTCGCCCTGTTTACAGGTTAATAACTTACATTTTTAGTCGAAAATTTCTAAAACTTTGCAAGTATGCATATGTGAGCCCGCGGATTTTTACGGGGGTCTTAAAAATCTAAATTTTATGTCAACTGTAAATATCTTCGGAAAAAAACCCGAAGTATTTGAAACTAGATGAGAGTTCACTGATTGTAATAACAATTAGCTGGGAAAGTTTACACTTGGGTATGAAAAATGCACTGTCATCGTCAATAATAGTCAATCACGTGGCAGCTTTCTCACCACAAGGATATAAAAGGGGGATTACAACGGAAGCTCAGGAGCATCCGCACAGGGAAGTCATTCCTGGTACTTGTGCTCATCGGTCTCCATGCCAAGGACTGTGATCCCGGCGCAGAAGACACCTAAGACACCACACTCCTCCATACAGACGACTTTCTCCAACTCTCTCTTCCACCGAGAGGTATTTAGGGGATTTAGATTTTGTTAAAGCCCTCTCTCTCGAACTAGAAATTAGGTCAGCGACATAGTTGCGAAATTCGTCGCCATATTCTGTAAATATTTTAGCATAACCGCATTTAACCTTAGTATTAATTTTGTCTCCTTGTCTATCTCTTCTTCAAGGACGCCTGCCGACTTACTCACCTCCCTTGCCACTCAATAAAAAGCCATCCTACGATCTCGAGATCGGGTTTTACAAACCTGTAGCAGACTAAGTGGTCATTTGGGAATTAACCCGTGGCCCACTGCTGATCTCACACATATTTATTAGGGAATTGGTGCTGTTAAATTTCTGGTATTAAAGGTCGAAAGACTTGGAAGATAACGGGAAGACTTGGAAGATTTTCGTTCGGGTCGAACTAAAAGATGATTTCTTTTCTTTTTATGATTTACAATTTTTAATAAAACCCATCGATATCGTCAAAATTAATCCGTTTGTCATTTTATATTATTTAAAAATATAAAAGTTTAAATAATAAAATATCATAACAAATGGCGCCAGCAAATATTGCAAAAAAAAAAAAAAATAACCAACCGGTTCCTAGATTTTTATATTTAAATATTCAAAAAGAACCAAGCGGAAACGCCTATTTTCTGTTATTGAAAACTTACACGAGGAAAATTTAGTCATTCCATTGTTTTTAAATTGTCTTCTAGTAGAAAAAAGACTTAATTTTTATTAATTAAGTAATTAAACATCACGCAAACTTGTTTTGAAATGGAAAATGTCTGTTTGCGTTTAAGTCTTATTATTTGTAAGAATTGTAAAAAATTTCTCTGTTTAAACAGAACATTTTTCAAATATATTTATTTCGAAGAAAATATTTACTTTATAAATTAAAATAATGCTATGTTAATACAGCATTATTTTAATTTATAAAGAAAATATTTAACTTATTATATTAAACTTTTTAAAATTTTTAAATTATAATATTAACTTTTTTTTAGTTCAAGAATAGAACTGTCATTTCTTTGTTATTATTGAGAGTTTTAAGTAATTTAAGTGTAATTTTTAATATTCTTTAGGAACAGTCGATTTGTAATTAATACGTATTTCCATTATTTTTTACAAAACGTTTTTAATTATTATAAAATGCCTCAGGTTCGAAGTTTTCCGTTTGGACAAGTTTCAAGGTTTGCATCTGCTCACAGAAGAAAGTTAGGACAATTAGGAAATTGCTTTTTATAGTTTAAATCGAATAATTATTTATTTATCGTTTTTGAATTAAATCCTCCTTATAAATGATATTTATTAGATTTACTTACAATAGAATGTAATTACAAAAACCGTATATTAATTTATATGAACCTGAGTACGTTACATGGGGTTTAAAAAAACAAAAATTACTGATACAGTAGAACCTCGAAAACTCGGCCTAATGTGGACCGAAGGGTGGCCGAGTTTGTGAAAATGCCGGGTTATCGGGAATGGGGTTAAAAAAAATAAGTACGAGTGTTTCCTCAGAAAATACTGTACTGTACTTGTATGTATTGTTTACTTGAGAATATAACAGAGAATAAACTGCCCAAATACCCTTAAACAAAGGAAAAGTAC